GGCTCCTCGCGCCGTACAAGGAACATCACGGCGGAATGTGTTTAGCAGTGTTGGGCTTTTGGGGGCCCACATTGGGCTTTGGGACCGTCAGGAACGACGCAGGAGGAAGAGCAGGTTTCCTGGAAGGGTCCAGACCTTTGTGGAACCCCGTTCCGAAAAAGCACGACTTCGAGTATTTGGGCTGCCCCGCCCTAGTTTGGTTGTCTGGCTACAGTTTCTGGTTTCAGCTTCATAGCTATCTCTGGCTACAGTTTCTTTTGTGCCTCTTGCTTTGATTCGCCGTGGGCGGCACGTGAAGGACAACCATGCACTTCATATCGAGTCGCCTCGCTCACTCCGCCGGCCCTCGGTGCGCCATCGTTGGCGTTTGCGTGCGCGTTCGCGGGCCATGCGGCGCTGCTTGTCGGCGCTGCTGCGGTTGTGGGTGAGAGTCCTGATGAATGCTTCTTGGTGTGTCTTCGCAGGGTTCTCTGGGGGTTCCTGTGCAGCAGTTTTAATGGGCTCTTGGGGGTCTCCTGGGGGCGCCTTGGATGCCTCCTGGGGCTTTCTTGGCGCCTCTTGGGGGCCGCTTGCACCCTCTTGGGTGTCTCTATGGAGCCGCTTGGGGCAGCCTGGACGCCTCTTGGGGCCGAGGGCTGGAAGGGCTCTTGGAGCTTCTGATGAGCTTTCTTGGAGGCCTCTTGCGGCCTCTTGGGCGCGTCCTGGATGCCTCGTGGGGCCTATTGGGAGCTCCTGGGAGGCCTCCGGGGACATCTTGGAGGCCGAAGGCCTATGGAGAGCTCTTCGGAGGCCTGGAGGGGGCTCCGGGGGGCGGATGTTGAGGCCGAACGCTCGAAATGTCCATTGGGGCTCCCCCATCGAGGGACCGCCTGGGATTTGCATGGTGTTTTGTCTCGTCCAGGGACCCCTGGGGGCAGCCACGCGCGCGCGAACTGGGAGTGTTCGCAAGCTGCTACCGGAGATTCTTAGCACGCCTTCGGCCCGTTGGGCCGGTGAAGGACAACTATACATTATCTTGGCATCGCTCGGACGTGTGCTTTTTTCCTTCGGCGAGGACCATGGAGGAGCACCCTTGATCATTTGGCGAAAAAGCCACGCACGAAACCGAAAAAAACACCGGGAATGGACGTCCGAGCGATGGCCAGTTATATTGCGTCGCGTGTGTGTTGTAAATGTGACGTCGTTGTTTGGAATGTTCATGTATGGCGAGCTCGACATGTGCGCTGTTCCGGGGCTGTACAGTGGCCAAGCCCAATACGAGTTGTCGATATCATGCTTGACAAGCTAGCTCGTTGGGTGCGAATCGTTTACTGAAGATCACGCCATGTGTAATGTACATGGTTTGCGCGTAGTGCGATGCTGCCAACCGTCTTTCTTCATAACGCAGCGTTGAAGATCTGCCATGCCCTCCTTCAGCAATGATTTGTGTTATGTTGAACACTTCCGCCGTAGTAGTTGGGTAAAGGGCGGGAGAAGGCCATCGCGGAGGCATGCAAGAGCCTGGGTCCGTTGGACGAGGTACTTATGAACAGGAGTCTGCAGTGTTTGCTCTAGCCATGCTCCTGCGTGTCCGTCGTCGTGTTTGTGTGTGCTGTTCCGATTGGTGTGGCGAGGCCGTGACTCCGTTAAGGTTGCTCTGGAACATTTGAACCTATGCAGTAGGAGTTTTGCAATCATGACGGATGTCTCCCGACGCATGCGTTGTAGATCGCACCAGGATGGTCATTCGAAGCTAGAGATGGCAGCAACGGATGTCAGCATGGTGGAAGTCGTTACGATATGGAGGCGGTATATAGAGTTCTCAGAACGAGATCATTGTCGATAGTTGTCGATGATTGTGTTTCTGGTGATTTGGCCATCGACGACACCGGTCGGAGTGAAGGGTTCTCTCACAGGCGGAACCGCTTCAAGTCAAACGCGTGTTGGCTGGTTCGTGGCGAACGAATGTCGCCGAGTTTCCCTCCTTCTCCTCCCCCGAGGGCGCGGCCAGCCTTCTGCGGCCACGCGGGGGGGAAGAAAGTGCGTCGAACAACACAGACACAAGTGTCGCCGATTCCCCGGGGAAGGAGACGGGAGATGCGGGAAGTGGAGGGGAAGACGGAAAATCCAGAACAGATGGAACAGTAACATGGGGGAATTTTGGGATTTGTGTCTACAGTGGGAGCCCATGCCAAGAGACGCCCTGCTTGCCTCCAGGGTGCCCTGGGTTTCTTGGGTCTAGATGCTTTTGCTATGGAATGCGCGACGCGCCCTTACCGAAACTCAACGGACGTCCTGGGGTCTCAGGGTCGGGTTTCCTGTGGAAGGTTTCTTGTGGTCGAGCTCCTACTGTATTTATTCGGGTGTGCCCCCATGCGTATGCTTCACGAAAATCCGTGCATTTCGCTTGAAGCCCCGTCGCCGCGTGGCACGGCGGTGGCACCGGAGACAGATTGGGGCCACCTTGGGCTCTCTCCGGGCCGTCGCAGCCGTCTTGGAGACCATCTTGGCCATCTTAGGTAGGGTCGTCGGGAGCGGGAAAACCGACGACCTGGGAAGTGCACAGGTCCTCGTGGAGAGACCAGTTGTCCGGTTTCTTCCCTCCTTCAGCGTTCTTCCGCGTCTTTCCGTGTGGCGATTTTGGCCGAAGGCCCCCTAGATCATTTTAGAGGAGGACCAAATTCTACCGGACGTTGAGCATGCCGTGCACCCTTGTGGCAAGATAAATGTTTTTCGGCCCATCTCGCCACTGTGCCTGGGTTGTGGGCCAGGGTCCTCTTGAATGCACCCTGCGGTCTGTTCGGATGTTTCTTGGAGGCCTCTTGCAGGCGTCTTGAGGATTTGTGGGTGCCCCTGGGGGTGCCTTTTGTTGGCATCCTGGAGCGCCTGAGACGCACGTGAGGGCCCCTTGGAAGCCTCTTGGCTGTCTGAGGGGCGTCCCTTGCACTTGGCGGGCTCCCAGAGCCAGTTCGTGCTCCCCCCATCCAGGGCCGCAAGCCTTGCAAAGCAACATGTGCTTCACTTGCGTTTGGCTCACGAGAGAGACGCCGAAAGCGCCCATAAGCGCATTGAGATCTGGGCCGTGAGCCATTTTTTACGAACAGTCGCAATACTCGACGCGGAGAACTCGAGGGAAGCTGAGGACACTCCACGCAATGCCTGCGCCACGGCTGCGGACATGAGTGCACTCGTGCCAGAAAGAGGGACCCCAATCGCGCGATCGTTTTGCAATGATCAGCTCGCGCCGTTCGGCTCGGGCTCTGTTTGCTTCGCCGTTGTGGTACCACTCGTCCCCATCTTCGTCTTGTCTCGGGGCGTGTTCGAGAAACATATGGAGGCCAGAGCGGAGCCCCACGCGATATGGGTAGGGTGGTTGAGGTGTCGGTAGGGGCCGTTTGGGGGCACCGATGAGTGTTGAGCGCATCGCAGTCATACACGATTCTCGATTGCTGAACGCATCAGGCGTGTGCATGTGCACACGGTGTTGGAGCGCGAACGTGCATGCGCGTCTTGACAGGTATGCGGCGGACTAGTAATCGACGTGCGTCCATGTTTTGGCGTCGGTGCGAGGGAGTGCGTACTATGATCGCCTTTGCACTTACTTGCATGTATCAGCGCCTGGGTTGTCGTCCTCCCAGCCGCCCTCAGGAACGGGCTTCTAATGGGTATTGAGACCCGCAGAGAGGACGTAGATTTGCTTGATTCTCGTTGGGCCCGCAGTGACAGTGTGCGCAGAGCTTGGGTGTAGGCTCCGCGATGCGTGGAGATTGCCACTGACGGTCGAAGTTCTTGCCTGCACTTATGATGTTCCAACTTATTTTAGCCTCGATCACCAGAGATAATTTCGAGCGCCAGGAAAGTACCGTGACTGGAGGGTTTTCACGTGTCGGGCCTTGGGAGGCGATAATCGTTCGTCGTTTCACCAGCGTGTCGGGCAGACACAGTTCCGATATTTTTCTGGGTGCTCGAAATTATTTCTGGGATGCAGTCCTTCAGTACGATGGGAGCAACACAAGCCTACACCAGCAAGGGCGTTCTAGGAGTTCTGGAGCTGCAGAAGCGAGGAGTGCATGTCAAACTCGACAGGTTCAGTCAGCCACGGCGAGCCCCCGGGTGCAGCTCAGGCTGGCTGGCTCAAGTCGACCAGGCTGCCCACCGGGGGCATCAGAACTTGCATCTCAACCATAACCCAGGGCGGCATTCCGAGGGGCTGGCAAGCGACGGTCGTTCTCGCCCACTCTCGGGCCCCGGGACCCTCACAGATCGAGTCGGCTCGAAAAATGACGCAGAAAGATGGGGTCTGGGACTCTGGCAGCCATGTTTTGCGATGTTGCAATGTTTTCGCAGCGTCGGATCTCAGGGGACATAAGACACACGTGTAAGGGGGCAGTCAAGGATGGGGCAGTTGCGGGGGAGGCGCGTGAGTGGCCATCAGCCTCAGGAGCAGCGCACCCTTGCTCTACAGCAGAGGCCCATGCCAAGAAACGCCCTGCTTGCCTCCCGGGTGCCCTGGGTCTCTGGGGTGTCGAGTCGATGGTTCTGCCATGGGGAGCGTCGCGCTCCCACGCCCAAACTCGATGGACGTCCTGGGGTCTCAGGGTTGGGTCCCCTGTGGCAGGTTTCTTCTGGTCGGGCCCCCGCCGTACAGTGCCGTTTTTAATACATGCTCGATCATGTATTAACAATGCAGGGATGTAGTATTAAGAACAACGATGAGTTCATGCACAAATTCATTCATAAGTTAATCGTGTATCAAAAATCCTCTAGTTAAAAAAACCTATGTATTGAAAACTGCCCTGTACGTCCGCTGACGCGGTCCTGGCCCTCCCACGGCCCACCGCCCGCCACGAGCTGCGGGCTTCGGACCGCCGGGCGCTCTCGCCGCTCTCCCCCGCGAGCGGCGCAGCAGCGAGGCGGCTCTCTTAGAGTTCGCCCCCCCCGCCCCGCTCGCTGTGGTCCTTGGCATCGCTCGGACGTGTGCATTTTTTCTCGGCGAGAACCATCGTGGACCATCCTGGACCATCGAGCAAAAAAAGACACGCACGAAATCGAAAAATGCACGGGAAATGGACGTCCGAGCGACGGCAAGGGTCGGGCCGCTGCTTCGTGGCATCTGTCCTCTGAGGCCATCCTCCGGCGCTCGCAAACCTGCATCGAGGGGGCGTGGGTTCGCGACGGGGTCCCGTTTCCATGGGACACCGCGGGTTTTTCCGCCGCAGAGCGGGGCGGCACCGGCAGCACTTTGGGGAGGGCTTCTTCCCGATCCGTGGATTTGGCGACGGCGCGCCAAATCCATGGATTGCTCATCCGTGTTTGCGCGCCCCCGAGGTAAGGCCGCTGCTTCACAGCATCTCTCCTCTGAGGCCAGCCCGTGGATGACAAGACAGCTGGGGGCTGGGAAAACCAAAGCCGAAACTGGTGACCCAGGGAAGAGCGCCGCGTAGTCGCGCACCACACCCTGTGAGCAACATTGCCAAGCGATAGTGGCACATATCGACGAAGAAGGGTTTTCCTGGTTGGAGTTGTGCCAAACAAAGTGTTCCAGTCCTTGCGTTGCGCTCTTAGACTTTTTGTTGAACGCGTACGGACCATCTCTGTTGTGAATCTAAAGAAAGGCAGAGTGCGTCAGCGGATGTTTCCACTTCTGCTCTTCCCGGGCCTTTGTCCATGTTTTGATTATGCATTGTTGAAGCGCGTATATTTTCGATCGCGGGATGTTCGACACGTGCGTTGTATCCGATCTTCTCTTTTGACCATCGATCGTGAGTGCGTTGCACAAGGCTCCACTCTTCAGGTTAAGACCCCTGGTCGGCCTCACCCTGCTTCTCCCCAACCAACATCATCGTCGTCTGTATCATCGCCACCATGATGACAATCCTGACCTGTCGTCCTCAATCGCTCCCCTTCGTTATCTTCCTTGTACTTGGCCATCGTTCCTGCGCCTGCTCCCCCTCATAATCATACTCATCAACTACATTGTCGTCGTCGGCATCATCACCCTCATCATCATCAGCAGCAGCATCATCATCATCATTTCCATCTTCATCTCCATCATCATCATCATCATCATCATCATCATCATCATCATCATCATCATCATCATCATCATCATCATCATCATCCGTATCTGTTCGATCTCAAGCATGTACACGTGAGACCGCCACGTTCCGCTGCAGTTCCTTCCTGCAGCCTCTCTGTAACTCATCCACCTGCCCAGCCAACCTCCTCAGCACAGCGCGTGCGGCGATCTGCATCCCCACCAGCCAGGCATGCGCTCTAACTCGGGAATGATTGCTGGGATGCGTGCGGTCTTGCGGCTGCTGACCACCATCGAATTGGGTAGCGCCTGTTTCGCGCGGGCGCCGTCTGCGGCTTCCTTGGCTATCGATTCTTTCTCGCTGGCTTGTGCCCAGGACCTGCAAGCTGCGCGCGCATCAACGGCCTCGTTCATTCGCGCATGTACCAAGTGTCGTTCGCCTCCCGTGCATAGTGTCTTCCCTTCTCCGTCGTCCTCCTCACCGAACCTTCCGTGTTCCATTGCGTCCAGGAGCTCGGTCGGAGCGACCGGACACCGAGCTCAGCGCGGGAGTTCATGCTTCTCTTTTTTGCGTTGTTTTGGCTAAGGATGATTGCAATGAAGACATGATTGAGGAGCAGACTTGTAAGAGTGCGCTGCGAGATTCGATCCACCACGATCCTTCATCTAGTCGTCTTGTGGTTGGCTTATGATTGTTGCAGGAGGAGGTGTATAGTATAGATGCCTCATACTGAGTTTGCGTGTCCTTGATTTTTGCGGTTTCAGGAGCAGTCGCGCCAGTATTTGGTGCGCAGCTTCCAGTTCATGCCCGAGGGAGAGTTGTGCCTTCGCTTGTCTTCTGGCGCTTCTCTTGCATGATCGTGTTCGTGTGCTTTCTGCGTATTGTCTACATCTGGTCACCGTCGGGAGCGTCATCATTATTCTTCTATCTTCATGCGGCTCAATACAATTCAGTGGTTTTGACATGGCCCTGGGAAGCAGGACTATACAAGCCAAGACTTTGCCGAATCCAGCTGGAGAGGCCGAAGATAGGAGAAGATTTGGACCCACAGTTTCAGGGCTCTTGGAAGTGCCGCAAGTCCTGGTTTATCAAAGCCCCCGTGTACGGGCTCTGATCACCAACGCGCGTTGCCAGCATCGACAAGCGTATCCAGTTTATTTCTTCTCCCGTGGGCGTTGTTGTTGGCATCTTATCCAATAGTTTCGGCTTGGCGAGTTTGTTCCACCATGTCATGCGGCCGTGTCTGTGGCAAGATTGCGAAGGCCTTACGGCCGTTGCCGCCGATCCCGAAGGGGGGCGACGACGACAGCAACGGCGGCGGCGACGACGACGACGACGCTGACGTGGGCCAGAGCCCTCAAGGATATTTCTTGGGGTCTCTTCGGAAGGCTCTCGGGGGCCTCGGGGAAGGAATTCCGGGGCTCGTTGGGAACCTTTGGGGGGCCTTTTGGGAGCCTCTTTGGGGCTTCTTCGGGCTTCCTGGGGACCTCTTGTGGGCCTCTCGTGGCCGAGGGCTCGAAATGTCCGTTCGGGTCCCCCGTCTGGGCACGCTCTTGGAGCCTTCTTGGGGGCCTCTTGGGCCATCTTGGAGGCATCTTGGGTGTCTTGGGGTCCCTTGGTCCGTGTTGGGGCTCTCTTGGAGTACTCTTGGGCCGTCTTGGGGTGATCTCGGGGGCCTCGTGGGCCGTCTTAGAGCGACGGTAAGATGAAAAGGCTAGAACGCCCAAATCGTCAACAAAAGCCCAAGGAACAATTGATTGTGCCTCTTGGGGCCCTCTCGGGAGTGCTCGTGGAGGCTTCTTGGGGCGTCTTGAAGGCCTCTTGGGCAGTCCAGAAGGCATGAAGGCGTTCTGGACCGATGGGTGCCCTCTTGGAACGTCTCGGGGGCCTCTTGGGGCGCTCGTGGCCTGTTTTGGTAGTTTCTGCGGCCCCAGGACCCCAGGGGGAATGCGTATCTGACCTCCCGTCCCACCCCCCCCAGGCGTCCCCCCCCCCCGGTGGGGAGGGAATCAACGGGAAGTGGGTTGTTTTCGACTCGGTTACAACATTGCCAGACTTTCTGACAGGGTTGAGAAGGGCGCAGGGAAAGGGGACGACGGAGAGACGATTGACGTAAACGACGACTCGAACAGACAAGCCCATCACACACGCAGACAAACCTTGTCTGACAAGGTCGGCGGATTACGTCTTGTTGTCCTAGTCATATATTTTAGCCAGCGTTGATCTCAAACAGTGCGTCTAGCAATACATGGTGTGCAGTTAATGTAGTGCAACAATTTGTGTGCTGCGCAGACTATGTGGTGCAATCGACGTGATGCAATCTGCGTGGTGGGATATATATATATATATATATATCCTTGAGATTCTCATGGGTTTTATCTCGTCCCCCCTCCGTCCTCGAAACGATCTCCTCTAAACCGCCTCTCCGTAGCCGCCTCGGCTTAAGGGTGCGGGGGTCCCCAGAATGACCCCCTCCGAGGAGCCCGCGCCCGACTGAGCTCCCCCCTCGGCGCCTGGGGGAGCTCGTCAGCCCGCGCCGCCGCGGCGGCGGCACGGCCGTGGCGATGTTCGGCGCCGCGGGGGCTGGCGCGGGCGCCCCGCCTGGCCCGCCTGGGTTGGGCCCTGGCGGGGGGCTCCTCGGCGTTGGCGGCGGCGGAGCGCTGGGCGGCTTTCTGGGGCTGCCGCCTGGCGTCGGCGCCCTGCTCCCGCCGCCGCCTGCCGGAGTGGCCGCTGGAGCTGCCGCGGCCGCGGGCGGAGCCGCCGCAGGCCCCGCAGCACCAGGAGGCGGAGGCAAGGCGGCGGCGAAGCCCGGGATGGGCGGCAAGGGCGGCATGGGCGGCATGGGCGGCCCAATGGGCGGCATGGGCAAGCCGCCTGCCGCCCCGCCGTCCGCTGCAGGACGCGGCAGAGGTGCCGGCGCTGGAGCAGGAGCGCCAGCGGCCATGGGGGGGCCCGTGGTGCCGGGCCTGATCCCAGGGATCCCCGGGGTGGGAGCCCTCGTGGGGCCACCCGCTCACGCTGGGGATGGAGCCGGCCTCGCCGTGGCAGGGCAGGCCGCCCACGCGGTGCCAGCCGCCGCCGCGCCTGTGCCCTTGGGCTGGCAGGCGGTCATGCCCGTGGCGGGCGGGGCGCTGCCGCAGTTCGGAGCGGCGTTCGCCCAGCCGGCGGTGGCGGGGGTCGCGGCGGTGGCGCAGCAGGTTGGGCCGTGGGTATACGTGCCCATGGCGCCCCAGGCGGTGACCCACGGCCTCCTGGGGCTGAGTGCCGGTTGCCGCGTCGAGCTGGTGATGTACGACGCTGCCTGTCAGCCGAGCGGGACGACGACGATGACAGTGACAGGGCTCTACCCACCTGACGCGGCAGGGGAGTTCGTGGAGTGCGCAGTGGAGAGCAGCAGCGACCCTCTCTACCTGCCGATCCTGCAGGGCATCTTCGCGATGGGAAGCAGCGTGGTGCACCTCTGCACCCAGGGCGTGGCGACATGCTGTCGCACGACCTCTTGGCCAGGGCGCAACGTGGTGCACTCGGACACGCTGCGCGTGCTGGGGGCGGCCGGGCCTGGAGGCGGAGCCGCTGACGGCGCTGGTGCTGCCCCGCCTGGCGCCCTCCCTGCAGGAGCTGCGCCGCCCGCCGCTGACGCAGGCCCAGTGGTGCCGGGTAAGAACGCAGGTGGAGCTCCCAAGGGCTCAGGCGGTGCCGACGGTGACGACGTCGATGGCAAGACGGCCGAGGAGATGAGGAAGATCGTGAAGAGGCTGAAGGAGAAGCTTCAGAGGAAGCGCTCGATGGGCGAGGCGCTGGCCGAGCGCGCGGAGGCTGCGCTGGAGGGCCGCCGCAGCCGCAAGAAGCAGAAGAACAGGGACAAGGATAGTTCTGACAGTGCAAGTTTTGACGAGGCCCCGACCGCTGGTTCCGGCCGCCGAGTGCAGAAGCTGGCCCGCTCCGACCCCGGGGCGCTCATGGCTGCGGGTTTGAAGCAGATCCGTGAATACTTGGCGCAGCGGGGCGGGGCCGACAACGATGATGAGCTGGATAAGATGGCGTCCAACGTGGTGCAGTATATCACGAGCGTGTGGCATGGCATGCACCCTCAGAGCGAGATGGGTGTGCGGAATGTGCGCGAGATGAGGATGGTCGGGGAGTGCCTGGACGCCCTCACGAGGGGCGATCTGCCACAGCTGGGCGACATGCTGATGCAGAGGCTGAAGGCCATCGAGCAGGCCACCAAGGACGGGCACTGGAAGGTGGCCGAGCACCTCGAGCTGGTCGACTCCACCGACATCGGGCTGGCCAGCAGCGCCGAGGTGTCGGCGGCCGTGGCGACCTACTCGGAGGGCGCGAAGCTGAAGGAGCGCCTCACTCGGGCGGGCGCGAGGAGGCCCCCCTAGGGACTCGGCGAGGGAGAGGGTGGGCGCACCAGGACGCCCTCTCCCGCACCGCCGCCCCCACAGATATCGAGTCCTGGAGCACAGGGGGAGAAGGATGCGCCGACGCCCGGATCGAGGAAGGACCGGTGGAGGGCGAAGCTCTGGCGTGGACGCGGCCGAGGGCGAGGTCGCGGTCGCGGGGACGCTGTCGAGGCAGTGAGGAGAGCGTCGCCGAGCCCGGCAGCCGGGACAGGCGCTGGCGAGAGATCTGGGAGCCCGAGGAGCCCGTCGTCCCACTGGCGGCCAGCACCTGGTTCGATCAGCCCTGGAGTGGATCGCAAGCCGGCCCTTCGGAGACCCTCGAGCCCTACTCGTCGCGTGAGGTTCGAGGACGACGTGACCACGGAGGCGAAGGCAGGCAACAAGGGGAAGCCGAAGGGCGACAAAGGACAGCGCCGCGGGACGCCACCTTGGCGCTCGTGGAACCCGAAGGGCAAGGGCGGCACGAAGGGACAGGCCCGTGGCAAGGGCAAGGACAAGGGCCAGGGCAAGAGGCCCAACAAGAATCGGAAGTAGAATGCATGAGCTTCGAGGGCGCTCGAGAGGCGTGTGACTGCACGTCCGACGGCAGCTGGGAGTCCGAGATCACCTTCTCCTCGTACCTTGAGGATGAGTGCAACGGCGCCGCTCATGGCGCAGTCTCGGACGAGCCGTCCACGCGAATTCACGACTATCCCTACTTGAACCAGACGCGTGCCGCCAGTGAGCTGGGCAGTCTCTGTGGAGCTCCAGTTCGTGTTGTTGGACGCCGTCTAGCTGATCTCAGTACTTCTTCGCCCGCGTCGAGCGGGGCACTTGACAATTTTGATGCGAAATCGTACGATGATATCCTCTCACCACTGACCGCAGGGAACGGACGGCGCGACCTGCTGCCGTTGCCCTGCGTCGATCTGACGATCGAGGAGTTGAGCATGAACGGCGTCGTGTTCGGCGAATCGAAGCCAGTCGATCCCTCCTTCGAGGACGACCTGAACGGCTGGCTGAAGCTCACCGCCCTGAGCCTGAACTTCCAGTACGCGCTGGGGGGCAAGCACCCGGGTCTCAAGATGGCCCCCTGGAAGGTGAGGCACGGGCCCGCCAGCGCGGTGCAGCTGAAGGCCCTGAGGTTGCTGGCCAGGAGTGTGGGCACGTTTTTGTGCCAGTACGAGGGCTCCGTGGCGAACCTCGACTGGACCCAGGAGCTGAAGTCGTCGGCAGTGAGCTACACGGGCATGGAGGTGTACCCAGCCGAGCAGCTGGACCGCGAGCGCCTCTTGCTCGCCCTGCCGCCGAAGGAGGCTTGCGGCTCGGTGCTGGCGACCGAGGTGAGCGAAGGATGGATAAGGAGCGTGCTGGAGCACCCGGAGTGGGTGATGAAGAGCCCCGCGGAGCTGGGCGAGATGCCCAAGACCCCGCGCGTCTGGGCCGAGGACGACGAGTGGGAGCTCATCGCGGCCGAGCTCGTGAACAGGGGCATCCTCGTCCCGATCGAGGCCGACGAGATCGTGAAGGTCAAGGGCCGTCGCGTGCTGGGCGGCCTCTTTGGTGTACGAAAGTCGGGACACGCCAAAGGCTCGGGGCCGCAGCGGCTGGTGATGAACATCATCCCGAGCAACTGGATGCAGGAGACGGTCCAGGGGGACATGGGTCTCCTCCCGACGACAGACAAGTGGAAGAGCATCATCTTGAGGAGCGGCGAGGTGATGATGAGCTCGTCGGAGGACCTCAAGTGCTGCTTCTACGTGTACCGGTTGCCCGCGGTGTGGCACAAGTACATGGCGCTCTCCAAGAAGGTGAGCAGGTCCTGCATCGGTCTCGACGGGACCGGCGAGGTGCACGTGGCCGCGGCCGTGATCCCGATGGGCTGGGTGTCGGCGACAGGCATCATCCAGCACATCCACCGGCGGTTGCTTCGTGAGTGGCTGGAGGGAGTGCCTCCGCTGCCTGAGGATCGTGAATTGCGGCGTGACCTTCCTCTACCTCCACATCGCGAGAGGGGCTCGGTGGTCTCTCAGGGCGAGGCGAGGCCGCCGGTGCGAGGCGAGCTGGGCCGATCCTACAGCGACGAGCGCCCACAGGTGTACATCGGTCGCACAGGGCAGCGGTACGGCTTCTCCCCCGTGGGCGAACCCCTTCAAGGTGACGAAGATGATGCCGAGGAGCGAGGCCATCGCGAACTACGAGAGTCACCTGCGCGACTCGCCCGATCTGCTGGCCTGCTTGCCCGAGCTCTCGGGCTGTCGCCTCCTGTGCCACTGCAGGCGAGGGCAGCGCTGCCACGGGGACGTGCTGGTCAAGGTGTGGTCGGAGACGGTGCCGAAGGCGACGAGCGGAGTAGACGCGCTCATGCCGGAGGGTGCTGGTACGGCTTGCTGGGTAGTGTGGCAGGTGTACATCGACAACCTTGACGTGCTGGAGGTTACCGACGAGGTCTCCGCGGCGGCGCTGAAGGCACAGGGCCCCCCCGAGGTGGTGCAGCTGGCTTGCGAGAGGTACGCGCAGCGGGGCGTGCCCAGGAGCGAGGATAAGGCAGTGTGCCGCGAGCCTGTCAGTCAGGCCTTGGGCGAGCTCGTTGACGGCACGAGGGGCGTGATCAGCCCGCCCCTGGAGTTCGTGTACCGCCTGCTGGGCCTCACCTTCGCCACGCTAGATCGGAGTGTGCTGACTCAGACTTGGCTGCAGGTGGTGGCGGGCCGCTGGGTGCGAGCGATGATGTTCAGGCGCGAGACGATGTCCGTGTTCGACGACCTGTGGCGTGCCGTGGTGCGCTGGAGAGGCGAGCGCAGGTTGCCCGCTCCCGTTCAGAGGGAGCTGCTGCTGGCCGTGGGGCTCCTGCCGCTCATGAGGTGCGACCTCAGGACGCCCGTGAGCGGGCTCGTCACCGTGTCCGACGCCAGCATGCGCAAGGGGGCGGTGTGCCGGGCTGTGCGCCTGCTCCCACACGGCGTTGAGGCAGCCAAGGCTTCTCGCAGGCGCCAGGTGGGGCGGCTGCAGGACGAGGGCGCGCTGCTGTCGCTCTTCGACGGGATCGGAGGTGGAAGGCGGGCCCTCGACATGCTGGGGCTGAGCGTGGCCGTGTATGCCGCGTCGGAGACGGACCCAGAGGCCTGCCGCGTGGTGAAGTACGCGTGGCCGGACGTGGTGGAGCTGGGCGACGTCACAAAGCTGAGCGCGCAGGACACCGCCAAGATCCGGGACAGGGCCCCGCACGTGCGCTGGGTTCTCCTGTTTGCTGGAGCTCCCTGCGTGGACCTCACCAGGCTGAGCGTCGACAGGCAAGGGCTGTCAGGAGCGAGGTCGGGCCTCTTCTACGAGATCAAGCGGGTGAAGTCGCTGGTGAAGGAGGTGTTCTCCGTGGAGGTCGAGGTCTTCGACTTGATCGAGAATGTGTCCTCCATGACGGCCGAGGATCGCGACACGATGTCAGAGCACATGGGGCTGACCCCCGTGATGATCGACGCCGCCGACATCTCACGCGTTCGCCGAGAGAGGCTCTACTGGTGTGACACCGACCTCATGACGCCGTGGCAGGGCGAAGTCAGTGTGAAGAGCGAGGTGGTGAAAGTGACGATCCCTGGAGGTCCAGGCCCGCTGGGCCGCTGGCTGCGCCCTGGGCGAGAGTGGTCAGGAGCCGAGGTTCCTGAGCAGCGGCTGCCCACCTTCGCGAGGTGCATCCCGCGCGGGCGTGCCGGCGACAAGCCGAAAGGCCTGCACCAGTGCAGCGAGGCCGAGCTGGAGCGTTGGCGGAGGCACGACTTCTGCTACGCGCCGTACCAGTTTCGAGATCCTCACTGTCTTCGATGGCAAGGAGGTGCGCTGGAGCCTGCCGACTCCTTTGAGAGAGAGATGTTGATGGACTTTCCACCTGGGCACACGGCGACAGCGCGGGCCACAAGATTCCGCAAGCTGGCTGAGCTCGAGGTGGTACGATGCGCCCTGCTGGGCAACTCGTTCCAGTGCGGCGTGGTGGCCTGGATAGTGGCGCACTGGGCTCACCGACACGGCTACCTGGACACGGTCCCCACGATAGCGGAGGCGCGCGCGGTCGGAGGCGCCTTCGACGCTGCCGAGGGCCTGGTGCAGGTGGCCAAGGAGGGCGACGACAGCGGGGTCGTGATCAGGGACCGTGGCCTCGAAGAGGCCGAGGCGCAGGCGGACCCAAGCATTCAGATCGTGGAGGAGCTGATCCGGCGAGCTGAGGTGGGGGGCTCGGACGTGCGCCTCGACACGCTGGAGGTCATGCGCCCTGACTTGTGGCCACGCCGCCCGATCAGCGTGAGCCGCTGGACGTGGAAGACAGTGCTGGTCTGGAAGTGGAGGTGGAAGAGCCACATCACGGCGCTGGAGGTGCTGAGCACGCTGGCAGGCCTTCGCTGGCGCTTCAGAGTGGGCCATCACCTTGGCACGAGGTTCGCTCATCTGATGGATTCGCAGGTTGGACTTGGTGTGATATCGCGGGGGCGCTCTTCCTCGCATCTGCTCAACGCAGCCGTCAAGAGGATCTCAGCTCTGGTCCTGGCGGCGTCGGCAAGACCGATTTACGGGTACACCGAGACGGACAAGAACCCAGCCGACGACCCTTCGCGGGAAGGCGGCCCGTCAGGTGACAGCAATGCCGAGGAAGCGTCGCATTGATTATGAGATAGACTTGGTGTCCCGCATTCGGGTACGACGCGCGATTGGCAGATTATCACACACACTAGTTCAACCTCGTACGTTTCGCAGATATGGTCAGATGGTGCAAAGCTTTGTCTCTTGGATTCGTGCCCATGGTATCGACGTGGCCACTGACCTGGAGCAGCTCGATTTTCAGTTATGTGAATGGATAGAAACGCTATGGGCGCATGGGAGGCCTGCTGGAGATGCTGGGGCCACTTTGTCTGGCGTACAGTTCTTCTTGCGACGCAAAAGAGTGCTTCACAGTGCGTGGAGCTTGCTGAAGGCTTGGCAACGGACTGAGATGCCACAAAGAGCACCACCCATGCCAGAGTATGTGCTGATGTCACTTGCCACGGTGGCTCGGTCCTGGAGTCGAAACGACGTGGCGGTGCTTCTTGTGATTGGCTACTCTGTGTTTTTGCGAACAATGGAGCTTCTTACTCTTCGTAAGTGGCAGCTGCAGTTCAGCAACGACGGCCTCAGCCTTGTCATAGCCCTGCCGGTGACCAAGGCAGGCAAGAGACGGCACTGCGAGGAGTCGGTCACGCTCCACGACGCTAGGATTGTTCACTTCGTCAGAGTGCTCACTCAGCATTTGCCGCCTGAGAGCTCTTTGCTGCAGGGCACCGTGCCCGAATTTCGTGATGTGTTCAGAGCTCTCTTGAGGTCGTTGAACCTGGAGCGGCACGGATATCAAATATATTCTTTACGCCGTGGAGGTGCCACCACACACTATAGAAGATTCGAGAACATGGGCTTGACTTTGATAGTCGGGAGATGGCAAGATACCGCTGTGGCCAGACTGTACATCAGTGACGGTGTGCAAACTTTGCTTCAGAACGATTTCTTGCCTGCAGAATTGGAACGATTTCGTGTGCTGGCGAGTGCTCTTAACTTCGATGTGGGATGAAAGAGTGAAAAGAGGGAGCAAAATATCTGAGCAGCTTCGCTGTCAGCATTTTCCGGACCCTCCCCACCCGTCCCTGGGAAATAATGGCGGTAAACCAGAAAGGGGTGCATGGAAAGGGGTCCCGGGGGGGGTTCGGACACGCGTCGCGCGCTGCCGCCCTCACCCGAGGGGGTTCGGACTCGCGTCGCGCTGCCGCTCCCGGTTAACTCCGAGGGTTCGGACTCGCGTCGCGCTGCCGCCCCTGGCCAGGCTTCGGAGTCCCCAGAGGACATGGGGGGGGGTCTCCGCTGGCAGCCCCCCTGTAGCACAAAACCCCTGGTGAGAGGAGTAAAAAGGAGAGGGACGAGGAAAGGGGACACAGAGATAAATATCCTTGAGATTCTCATGGGTTTTATCTCGTCCCCCCTCCGTCCTCGAAACGATCTCCTCTAAACCGCCTCTCCGTAGCCGCCTCGGCCCCGCCCTGATACCCTGCCCGAGCCGAGTTGGCTAAAAGATGTGCCGATTTCGAGCCATCTGAGGATGCGCTGAAGCCATCCCAGCAGGAGTTGGAGGGAAAGGGGTCCCGGGGGGGGTTCGGACACGCGTCGCGCGCTGCCGCCCTCACCCGAGGGGGTTCGGACTCGCGTCGCGCTGCCGCTCCCGGTTAACTCCGAGGGTTCGGACTCGCGTCGCGCTGCCGCCCCTGGCCAGGCTTCGGAGTCCCCAGAGGACATGGGGGGGGGTCTCCGCTGGCAGCCCCCCTGTAGCACAAAACCCCTGGTGAGAGGAGTAAAAAGGAGAGGGACGAGGAAAGGGGACACAGAGATATATATATATATATATATATATATATATACTAGAACCACGCGCGCTTCGCGCGCGCTTAGGTTCTAGCTAGGAGGCGAGCTTGAGTCAACGAAAGTCGCAGGGAAGGGGGCAGGGGGAAGAAGGCCAGAGAGCGCTGAAGGATACAAATACTGGAACCCTCTTGTGATTTTGTGGGGGGCCTCGTCCGGCCGCTCGCTGGGAGTTTGACGTAGCTTCTCGGGAGCCTCTGAACCTGTCGGGGGCCTCCTGGAAGCAGGTTCGAAGCATTTTGGGGGCCGATTTGGGGCTTCTCGGGGCCTCCTTTGGGCCTCTTGGGGGTCTCCTGGGGCCTCTTGAGGGGCCTCCTTGGGGCCTCCTGGCGGCCTCTTGGGGCGGAAGGCTCGAGCTTGCGGTTCGTGGTCCCCCTCTGGGCCCCCTCTTGGGCCCGTCTTGGGGCCCTCTTGGGCCATCTTGGGCGCCTCTTGGGCCGTCTTGGGGCCCTCTTGGGCTGTCCTGGGGCCCTCTTGGAAGCTTCTTGGGCCGTCTTGGGGCGGTCTTGGAGGCCTCTTGGGCCGTCTTGGACGCGGTGAAAGCCCAAGATGCGAACATGCGAAAAATATACGTTTTCCCATAGGAATGGCACGATTTTTGTTTCTTGGACCTCTCTTGGGGTGCCTCTCGGAACGTCTTGGGCTGATTTTGGAAGCCTTTTGGCGCCTCTGGGCGGCGTTTTGGCGCCTCCTGGGATATGTTGGGCCGGAAGCTCGGAATTCGAGAGTGGCTTTCTCCTTCTGGGACCCCTCTCGAAGTCGTCTTGGGGTTCTCTTGGGCCGTCTTGGGGCCGTCCTGAGCCACTCGTGCGCAGCCTTGGAGCGCTCCCGGAGGCCTCCTAGGCCGTCTTGGAGGCCTCTTGGGCCGTCTTGGACGCGGTGAAAGCCCAAGATGCGAACATGCGAAAAATATACGTTTTCCCATAGGAATGGCACGATTTTTGTTTCTTGGACCTCTCTTGGGGTGCCTCTCGGAACGTCTTGGGGTGCTTTTGGAGCCTTTTGGCGCCTCTTGGCGGCGTTTTGGCGCCTCCTGGAGCCTCTTGGGCCGGAAGCTCGGAATTCGAGGTTGGCTTTCTCCGTCTGGGACCCCTCTCGAACTCGTCTTGGGGCTCTCTTCGGCCGTCTTGGGGCCGTCCTGGGCCACTCGTGCGCAGCCTTGGAGCGCTCCCGGAGGCCTCGTAGACCGTCTTGGGCGCCTCTTGGGCCGTCTTGGACGCGGTGAAAGCCCAAGAGGCGAACATGCGCAAAATATACGTTTTCCTATAGGAATGGCACGATTTTTGCTTTTTGGGCCTCTCTTGGGCTGCCTCTCGGAGCGTCTTGGAGGCTTCTGGGACCTTCTTGGTGTCATGACAGGCGTCTTGGAAGGCATCTGGAGCCATCGGAGCGCGTTCCGAAGCCGCCTGCGAACGATCTTGGACGGCGCCCGGCGGTCCGACGAGCCTCCGGGCCCCCCGGGGCCCACATTTGTGGTCGAGGTCCCGGCCCCGGGGCCCCGGACCCGGTGCGCCGTTATATGTATATACATTAAATAACAGGATATGCTATTAGATTGCTTCAGTTATACAATATTATGTTATAGTATATTAAATTATATGATATTATATTTTATTGTATCATATTATAATTTACTTTATATGTTATATCATATTTTATGTTATTTTATTATATCATATTGTATTATATTATTTGATATTATATCATATTATATTCTATTATATTATATTATATTATATTATATTATAGTATAGTATATTGTATTGTATTATATTATATTTGTTATATTATATTATATTATATTATATGTTGTTAAATTTTATTCTATTATATTATATCAAATTATATCATAATACATTATATGATACTGTATTATATTTTATTATATCACAATATATTATATTATAATCCATTATATTATGTTATATTACTTTAGAATATATATTATATTAAATTATATTATATTGTATTGTATTATCTATGTTATATATGTTTTGCAACCTACGCGGTACCCGGTACAGTCATTGCTATGCGGCGACGGCGATTTCGGAGCCGCCAGACCGTCAACCAGGCCCAGACGACGGGCGGCGACGGGGCGGCGACGGCGACCACGGAGCCGCCAGACCGCCAATCAGGCCCAGGTCTTTAGAAAACACATGAGAGCCCCTAAGTGCAAGCACTGTTTGGGGAATCTGATCATGTACGCAAGCACTGGCGCACCCTGTTGCAGCAGGAGTGGCGGCAGTCGCAGACGCGGCGCGGTCCCGGCCCCTGCCCTTGCCCTTGCACACCAGAGGCACATCAGATGGCCGCCCCTAACATACACGAGAGCGTTGTGAAAACAGGGGCGACCGCGCAGCCGCTGGCATACATCAGCGGCGCGAGAGCTGTCGCGCCTGCTCGCGCGCCTCCTGCGTGGCCGGCGCACCACCCCCCTCGCTCGGCAGGGGCAACGCCAGGGCGGGGGACAGGTTTCGAACCCCCCGATCGCCCATGCATCGCCGAGAGGGGCCCGATAGCCCGCCCCGCCCAGGGACGTACGAATTTCCGTATCGGGGGCCTATCGCCGATCTATCGGCCTCCTGCGTGGCCTGGTGGCCCTGGTTCTCGTCCCCCTCGCCCGCCCTCCCGTCAGGCAGAGGTAGAGCACGGCCCACGGCGGTCGCGCCCCTGTGGTTCCCCATGCCGACTTCCCCTTGAAGAGAAGTCGGGTCGGACGAAAAGGGGGGGGGTAGGGAAAGGGGGGGACTGCTATACTCGAGGCCTCCCAGATGGCGTCCGAGTAGATGGGGTCGGAGGATCGCGCCGCATCGCCGCCGCATCGCCGACGCACCGCCGACGCGGGTCGACGTGGAACCCGATGCTCTTCACGCCGACGTCGCCGATGCATCGCCGCCGTCGCCGATGCATTTGTGGATGCATCGACGATGGGGCGCGATCCCTCCGACCCCACGTGGGAGGCCGCTCGAATTTTTGTGCGTGCAGCTGGTTTCGGCCCCGCCGCCCAGCGCCGTCCTCGAGGGGTGGGCGCTGCCGGGGGGGGTTCGGGAGAGTCCGCCGCGTGAGCTGGCTCGCCAAGCCTGTCCTTCACAGGGCACCTCCCGTCGTCCGACCCGAAGAAGAGAAAGGTTCAGGAGGAAAGGGGTCTCTCCTCGTCCTCCTCCTCATCCTCTTCCTCCTCCCTCTGTCTCGTCCTATACTTCCCCATCCCCCTCCTTCTCCTCCCGCTTTCTCTCCTTCCCCTCCGCCGCCTCCGCCTCCTCCCTCTCCTTCCCCTCATCGTATCGCGTCCCGAAGTTGTTACGCCGTTCTCTGGATCCCAGGGCCACAGTGGGGGCGTGAGGAAACGACCTGGGACGAACAGGTGGTCACGGTGAAAGAGCTCTCGGGTCCAGTGCCCGTTTCCACCAGGACTCTTTCCCTTCGTGCCGATCAGGCGAGTGGAGCGTGGCGTCTTGCCGTCGAGCTCCAGGGCCACATCCCTGGCGTGGCCAGCCCGCCCAACCTCACCCGTGGTCCGATTTCAGTTTAGCTTTCTGTTTCGGCCCTTGAAGGGACGATGCGTTTGCCTCCTGATCCCGGTTCCCCAGCTTACTCTTGGCACCAGGGGTCCATGCTGCGGAATCCCTTGGTAGGGTCGCAAGCGTTTGCAAACAGAGAGCGCTCTTCACACGATAATGTCGTTGACAGTATAGCTGCGGATCAGGTATTTCACATTCCCTATGTCATCTTTCGAGCGCACATGCCTCCGTGCAGCAGTCATTTCCTCTCCAGGCCTGGATTTCAAAGGCCCGCTTCTGCTCGCCGGTCCCCCCCCCCCACCCATTCTACGAGTCCTCATCCTTTCCTGTTATTCTCCTGTGGCTCCGGAATGTAATTTTCGCATTCGCTTTACTTCATCCTCCTCCATCCTCCTTCGCATCCTCCGCATCTCGTAGCATTTACATCTGGACCAGAAGTGGCGCGCAGCGCCAACTGAGCTGTCATGAATTATTTCGGCTGTGCTCTGGAGGGTTACGGTCACCTTTGCCAGGTACGTCAGAAGCCACAATTTCAACCGCGTGCCTCCCAATGTAGGCGGGGCGGGGCTCGTTGGATGAGTAGACGGAGGAGGGATGATGAGGAGGATGAGAAAGAATGATGTATTGTATGAACGGGAGGGAGGGAGAAGGAGGGAGGATATGGGGAGAGGAGGGAAGCGGACGAGGGCGAGGCGGGAGGAGTTTCAGGAGAGAGGGGGGAGGGAGGATTGGAGGAGGGACGAGGACTTGGCAGGAGTGAGCGTGGCAACGGGAGGGCTCGCCGACTTGTGTCAGCCTCGTGTGCCCCCCCGCCCCCGGGGCCTCCGGAAGGCCCCCTGGAAGCTGCGCCCCAAAGGCTACTCTCGCCTCGGGCCGCGCCCCTGCGCGCCGCCGCTGGGACGGGGCCGTGCGGCTTCGGCCCGCGACGTGCCCGCACGCGTCACGGCGGGGGGGGCCCATGCCAAGAAGCACCCTGCCTGCCTTCAGGGTGCCCTGGGCTTCTTGGGTGGCGATGGTCTTGCGATGGGAAGTGTGGTGTCCCCACGCCAAAGGCCAATGAGCGTCCTGGGGTCTGAGGGTCGGGTGTCTTGTGGAAGGCTTCTTGTGGGCTGGCCTCCGCTGCACACGAGGGTTCCGCGGGCGGACGGTGTCAAGGCTGTCCATACCATCCTGAGACATAGCTCTGTCCCCCTGATTGGCCGCACCTGATTGCAACGCTGATCTTAAGGATTCCCTCAGTTTCTGAGTCGAAGGAGAAACAACGCCCCGACACATAAACTTTTATCGCTCCGCGCTGATCCGCGCTGGGCCCCCCCGGCGGCGCCTCTAGCGCCGCCCCTGGTGCGCTCCGCGCGCCAGGGAGGAGGGTCCAGCGCAGATCCAAGAAAGCCGTGCGGAGCGCCAACAGTTTACGTTTATACCGTTTCCTATTGCTCTAATTGAGTGTTGGAGCAGCGCAATGCCGACGATTGGTCCGAATGGGGACGGCTCGTGAGCTCGACTCGTCTTCGTCCGTGTGCGGTAGGGGGTAGGGCGAGTTCACGCCACCCTGCCATGAGCGGTCTTAATTGAGGTCGAATCGTGAGTTTGATTCCATCTTCGTCCGCGCGGCAGGGAGGAGGGAGAAGGAGGAGGGGGAGGAGGATGAGGAGGAAAGGGGGAGTAGCTGAAGTCAAGGACAAGAAGGCATCTTACGGGCTCTCTTGGTGCCTCGTGGGACCCTTTGTGAAACACCTTGGGCAACTCGATGTAATTCGCCGCCTCGGTCTCTCCCGGATGGCCTCTTGGAACTCTCTTGGGCCGTTTTGGACGCTTCTCGAGCCTTCTTGAGGCCGTTTGGGAGCCTCTTGTGCCGTTCTGGGCCATTTGGTGCCGAACATGACGCCGGAGAGCAAATGCGAGGGGGAGGGGGGGGCGATTTTCAACCACGCGTGGGGCGAGGGGGGAGTCGGCCTTAGAAAGAGTAAAGGAACCTTCCAGACAACAGACGAGGATGACGGAAAAAGCGCTAGCAAGAGAAGTTCTGTACAGGGTTCTAGCCCCAATGGGGAGGTGTCCAGGGGGGGCGTGTGGCGCGTCGAAATGATGGAACGAGCGCAGAAGTTTTGCACAGGGCCTTAGCCCCAATGTGTGGGGGTCTGGGGGGGTGTTGGACGGGGGGGCGTGGCTGGGCGCGATTTCTATCACGCCCTCCAGAGATAATGTTTTCTTTTTTTTCTGCCCACGAGGCCAACGATGCCTTCACGATAGCCTCCGAGAGACCCAAGAGGACCCGATGACTGGTCTAAGAGCGCTCACAGAAGGATCCTGAAGGCCGCGTCGCAGCCCGAGAGGTTCCCAAGACGCCCCAAGAGGCCCCCGAGAGGACCGGAGGAGGCAACAAGGAGAAGTTTTTTCAGTTTTTGAAGGGTATGTTTTTCCCCCTTTGCGGGCGAAGAACTGCCGAAGACGGCCATGGGCCCAAGAGGGGCCCAAGACGGCCCAAGATGGCCCCAAGACGTCCACAGAGAGCCCTAAGTGAGCCCAAGAATGCCATAGGATGCTGCAGAGAGCGATTAAGAGGGCCCGAAGACGGCCCAAGGCTCCCAAGACGCCCAAGGACGGCTTAATGTGCTCCCAAGAGGATCCCACAGACGGTGAGGATCACCGTCGCCCTGTGAGGCTGGTGCCCGCATTGCGTTCAATGGCCGAGGTCGCGCGATGCTGGCCACGGGCAATCGCGCCCAATTCTCGCCGGGGTGCGGGGGCTCCTCAGAACTATATGTCCTCCCTCCATCCTACTTTCCAGACTCTCCTTGCCGTTACTTCATATTTGTCAGCAGCGCGGAGTCTTCAGCGGGTCACTCGGTATGCCATTCGCGCACGTGCGTGTCAGACTGCTGGGCCGACTTGCAGGTGAGCTCCGCCTGCGGACATCGTCGCTTCTGCTTGCCAAGACCGTGCCGCTCTCCGACCGGCCAAAAATCGGCCGACGAGATTTACAGGTGACGTCCGCCTGTTGTCAGGACAGCGATTTCAGGTCTTGAAGCTCAGGAGATGGTCACCCGTGTCCTCCCTCCATCCTTCTTTCCAGACTCTCTCTGCCATTACTTTTGATTGATCCGCGACGGGGAACTTCCAGCAGAAACGTAAAAAAACGCATTGATGTTCTTGAGGTTTTCCATTATTTCTGTGGATTCTCACATTTTCGGGCCCAGGTCGACCGAAGACGGTTCTGAGGTCCTCCGAGATTTCCCCAAGACGGGCCAAGAGGCGCCCAAGAGGGCCCCTAGACAGCCCAAGACGTCCCCAAGACGGCTCAAGAGGGCCTCGAGAGGTTCCCGAGGGAGCCCCCAGAGAGCGCCGTAGGAGGCCGCCACAAGGGCCAAAGAGGGCCCCAAGACGGGCCAAGCCCCCCCCCTCCAGATGGCCCAAGAGGGCACCAGCACGGTCCACGAGGGCCCCTATACACCCAAAGTGGGCCCAGGGCCCCCTCCTGGACGGCCCAGTGACGGACGCAGCTTTGACGCCACAGCTCCCAAGAGTACCAGGTGATTGGAACCTCTCTCTTAGACGAGCCTGTGACGTAGCCAGTTCTGAACGCCAAGGGTCCCGAGAGCGAGCAGTGGCGCAGAAATCTCACGCCAAGGCTCCCAAGAGCGAGCGGTGATGGAAACCGATCTGAACGCCAAGGCTCGCAAGAGCGAGCGGTCAAACGATGACGAAAACATATCTTAACTCCCAGGCTCCCAAGAGCGAGCGATGGTGTAAACACCTCTTCACGACAAGGCTCCAACGAGCGAATGGTTTCATAACATAAATGTTGACGTGAAGGCTCGCAAGAGCGAGCGATGACGTGACCAAAAGCTCCTGACGTCGAAGTTTCCAAGAGCGATCGATGCCATGAGCCCCCTCGGGCAAGTTCCTGAAGCGCTTTTTCCCTTCAAGTGCCAGCCCAGGTTCTAACACGCACATTCCGTGCAGGCACGCTGGCGCATTCTACGACCAGAGCCAGCCAGAAGGGTGATTAGGCTCCGCTATCAAGCACCATTCCACGGATCACTAGAGGCGCTCGCGTGTTGAAATGTTGGGCGTGTGTCTTTGGCTTGTGATGACATGTTGCCACAACGCATGGTCACGTTTGTTGTGTTCAATTGGACGTCCCTCGCAAGGACGGCTGAAGATTCCTGTGTCTGCGGTCTATGTGATTTAAGCGGTTGCCATTTCCCGTGTTTGCAATGATCAGTTCTACTCGCTGGAGAGAGCGCAGAGAGTCTTTGGGTCGAGTTTTCTCAGCTCGATCCAGGGTATTGAGTTTGCAAGGGGCCGCCGGCATGTCGGGCGGAGGGCAGGAGAGCCTCGGAAGAATGTGAAACTTCACGTGCGCGATGACTACAGGGCGCACGAGGATCCGAGTGTGTTTGTTTTCGATGGTTTGTGGAGGATGTTGCCTTGATTTCAGACAGTTTGAGCACGCATGCTGTTTTCTCAGCCCACTAAGCACGTGTAGCGCAGTGCCACAAGGTGCGCGCACAGGGCCTTGGAGACATAGGCCTTACTTGCATGCCATTGTGGTTGAGTGCGATGACCGTGCCCTGTCTACTAGGGTAGGTGCAGTTGTCATTGCGCAACTGGCCAGTGAGGTGACCAGCATGTTGTGCATCTTGCGCAGTTGCGTAGAAAACCACCTTCCCGCGAATATGTTCAGCACGGTCTGTCAGGGTTGCGATGCGGACGTCAATGTTTGGCGCCTTAGTAGCAACCGTTGGTCTACTAGACGGTACAACAGCGCGAGTGCTCAGAATGGTACGGACCGTGCGTTGCAGTCGGTCTCTTATTCTCTTGACAGGACCGCATTGTGATGCTGAAGAGGTACTCCATGGCACGGTTGTGTTTCCAGGATTGATGGGAAGGGTGGGCAGGTTGAAGGAGAATTGTGGCATTGTCTTGCGCTCGTCGGGCACACGCAGCATAGTACAGTACTTCAAGGCATTCTGCAGAAAACATTGAAGAATGGATGGTGGAAGGAGAGACCAATGGAGTGCCCCAAGGGTGGGTCCAATCCGTAGGAAGACCTTCCGGGATCTATACGGCCTACGGTGGGAACCTTTTTGAAACATACCTGTTGGTGTTGTTGTTTGACAATCCGCTAGATGTTCCAATGGTGTGTCAGGTTGTTGCGAGGCTGGTACCTCGTGGTGTGCGAGCCGCTGGTGCGTGGATCAGGGCGTAGGGTTCATGCGTGCGAATGCCAGCGGCAGCATGGTTCGGTTCGAAGTTTCAGCCAGCCCTCACGGGCGAGGACCATGTAATGTAGGGTAGCCGACGCGCCGTGAGTTTTGGTTCAAGCCGCTACCGAAAAGAGCAAGTACAGACACAACCATCGGCAGGCTGACGGTCATCACCAGACACACGCACAGGCGTAGGATTATTCTTGCACGCAGGCGCATATCACAGCCATAAGTTTTTTGAATGACCCCAGCGCATTCACAAACATACACATGCATAGACACATTCGCACAGGCACAGTCTGGTACAGCACGGCCACACCAATTATAACAGCGGCACGCAGAGGCAAGCGCAGGCGCAGATGCACGAGGAGAAACACACTTGTTCCTCAAACAGTTTTGCACTTGGGGCTTTTTACTCCTGTTCTGAGGAGCTGGGCCGTGTCTTCCGCCTGGCGGCCACGTGGCCGCCGTCGCGTGTCGCCGCCTCGCCTCAGCCCGTCGTTTGGGCCGTGCATTGGGTCTGGCGGTTGTGTGGCCGCCGTTGCCGCCCCGTCGCCGCCGTGTCGCTGCGTGGTATTGCACAAGATGGATTGCAGTGCGTATGTTGCACCACGGACATTGGACCGCATCGATTGCACCACATAGGGTGCACGGCAGGGCTTGCAGACCGTAGTTTGCATCGCATGTTGTTTGCACCGTATGTATTACACCACATAGATTGCATCACGTAGTGTGCACAATCTATTATGCACCACATCTATTGCACCACTCGTATTGCGCCGCATGAGGTGCACAATATAAGTTGCGCCACGTAGATTCCATGGCCTGGACTGCACCACCTTGAGTGGAACAGAAAATACTGAACAGCATGTATTGCACCACATGTATCGCACAAAATCTATAGCACCACGCATCATGGACAACATATACGGCACCTCATACATTGCACCACATGTACTGCAACACAGCAATTGTGCAAAGTAGATGGTTATACAGACATTGTATCACTTAGACTTGACAGCATAGCTTGCAAACTGATATTGCACCGCAGAGTTTTCACCACATGGATCGCACTACATGAGCTGCGCCACATTGAGTGCACAGCACATTTTGCACCGCGCATACTGCGCCACATCTTTCGCACCACATAGATTGCGGCAAACAGAGTGCACCACATATGTTCTCCCTTCAAACAAAAAAGAGTTGGGATCTACCCCCCCTCTGATTATCCGCCCGCCTTTTGCATTGCAATTTTCATCTTATTATCTCCCATCGCCCATCCTCAACATGAATTCGTTCCATCCCGGCCCAGCCAGTAGTGACCCCCTCCCGCCATCCTCTGCACAACATGCTATGCGCGCACACTTTTTTACCAAAACTCACCCGTGTCCAAGTATCCCTTGCACAAGCTACGAAGAAGTACACACGCGAGCGCGTCGTCACGCGGTTATGCCGAATCCTTCAAACACCTCCGGGTTCGTAAGGATAAAGTCGCATGGCTTTGCAACAGCAGTTTTCGAAGATAGAAGAAAGGCTTGCGCGCGCTTTTGCTAGTTCTTGAGGCAGACCGTCCGTTCTTCAACATGTTCATCACACTCGACCCAACGGGCCTATCGCGCGCGCATGTCGAAATTATTCGAACGCACTTGCGCGCGAACTTGGGGCGGCACGACCCCTGTCAAATGATACAATACGGGCCGCTCGCGCGCGTCGGCGCCGTCATTGGCGTTGCCGTCGTCATCGCCATCATCGTCACCATCATCGCTACTATCGTTATCGTGTCTACCGTTGTCGACGTCGCCATGACACCGCGCCCTCCCAAGTCACTTACTCGTGCTGAAGTGCCCGCGCTGGGACCATCGTAACGCCGCAAGAGCCCATCGTCTGCGAAAGGGCGAGAAAGCAATACACATTGTTCTTCCCTCGGTGCTGGAGCCGTTTTGGCCTACTGGGGGGTCGTTGGCGGGCTCGGAGGGCACTTGCAACCGTCCTGGGGCCGTCTTGAGGCCTCTTGGATGCGTGTCGGAGGCTATCTTGAACCATCGCGAGGTATCTTGAAGAATCTTGGAGGCCATCGTGGTCTCTCTGAAATCCTTTTGGAATCATCTTGGGCCATCCTGGACGCTCTAACCCTTCCGCCCTCCCCTTCCCAGGCCGAGGGGGGGGGGGTATGGGGGTAGGGGTAGGGGGAGGGGTCAACTGACCCACCCGCCCGCAAGCCGTCTAGCTCACTCCCACCCGCCCGCCCTACACAAAATTACACCCGAGCCTGAGCATGTTCAGCGGTTGCCATTGGATGGACAGCTACTCGAAACCAAAGCCGACACCAGGTGCGCGACGTTTGGGCGAGGTGCACCACGCGCGCCAGGCACTCCTGGGGCCTGAGCGCGCCAGGCACGCCTGTTGCGCGAGATGCGCCACGTGCTCCGAGTGCGCCAGGTGTGCCGCACACTCCAGCCGCGCCATGTGCGCCGCGTTCGGGGCACGTGCGGAGTGCGTCAGGTGCGCCTGCGCACGTGACAGCAAACATCGGGAAGCATGTCGGCCCCCGCCGTCCTTGTCGAAAACCGATGCCCATCATTGTGTCTGCTGGGCCTGCGCACAGCAGGCCACGCGCCACCACCCCCGCCGTCCCTGTCAAAAACCACTTGACCGTGATCGCGGGTTGGCCGCGCATGGTCCAGATTTAGCCGCGAGGTGCATGTTGCATTGTTGTTTTGTCAAGGATGGTAGCCCTGCGCACAGCAGGGGATATGCTGACACCCCCGCCGTCCTTGTCAACAACAATTCGAAGTGTTCGCGGGCCTCACGAACATGCCCCAAAGTGTGCTTCGCATGGTTTCTTTCATAGGGATGGTGGGGGGGGCGCATCGGGTTGGCCGCGCATGCTCCAAATGTGGAGGCAGCGTGCGGTTTGTATTGTTTGTTTGACCGGGGTGGTGGGGGGCGGGTGGGCATGGTGTGGGCATGATGTTTGGTTGGCCCCCAGTCGCTTGGGGGAGGGGGTGTCTATCAATAAGGAACAGTGATCCACCCATCCCCCGAACAGGGGAAGGAGGGGCTTGGGTAGAGAGACGATACAGTTCGTCAAACCATCTACGCCCAGAGGGCTGGTGGGATTATAGTTTTATTGGTTCCTTCTGCGGTGGCCTTGCAATGGGTTTCAAGTGTTGGGGATATGCTGTGGTGGTGGTGCCTCGAACGCAGGAGAGCTAGAGAGGAACACCATAATAGATGCAACACATTAAGGCGTTCTTCACATGGCAAAGTATGAACAATTGTTGTAACCTATGACTGCTGATGTTTTTACGGTGCAGATGCGTTACACTTAACGTCCTTGTGTAGCAGCCTTCGCAAAAAGGGTTCTTCTTGAGGCGATCGGGCAAACAGGAGTTTAAGTGTTGGGAAACTGCAGTGGCCCCCACAAACCAAACCCCGTTTGTGAGAAGGCTACTGCACTCGGATTTTAAGTGTGGCGCAGCTGCACCATAAAAATAGCGACAGATACAGGTGTTCTTTATTTTTCAGTTTTCCCGGTGAAAACACATGTTTCTTCATATGTGTTCTGTGTTCTGTTTTCCTCCCTAGCGTTCCTGGGCTCGAGGCGCCACCACCATTGCAAATTTCTAGCGATGGACAGAGCTTGCAAGGCCGCCACAAAAGGAATCCCTATCGTACAGGCTGCCACAAAAGGACGCTACTTGTGGAGGCCACTGTAGATCATGGTGTAAAGTCGTCGTGAAAGGAGTCTTTAATGGCTGCGATACAAGGGTTCAAATTGTGCAGGCCACTGCAGGTCCCCAAAACTTAGGCCCTTCTTCTAAGAAAGCCACACACAACCCTTGTGTGTAAAGGCTGCGACAATCGGTTTATAGTCGTGGCGCATCACCAGCACGAACATGACAGTTGCCACCTATTTTCGTAAGTGTGCCGTAGGTTGCCATGTGGAAGCATCTGTTTTTCATGGGTTGCTTGGTGTCCTCTTTAGCTTTCCTGGGCTCAAGGCGCCACCATTGCAGATCCCCTATACGTTAAACCCTGCATAGGCTGCGACAAAAAGGATTCTAAGCGCGGAGGCCACTGCAGATCCCCCACATTTGAAATCCTGTTTCAAAGTCGCCAGGAAGGAACCCCTGTTTCAATCAAGGCTGCGACATAAGGATTTCAACTGTGGAGGCCGCTGCATGTCCCACACAATTACACTCCTTTCTAACATCGCCACACAACAACCCCCTCCTGTAAAGGCTGTTACATGGGGATGTCGATGCTTGGCGCATCAGCATTATACAATAGCGGCAGTGGCCGGTTGTCTTCAGTTGTTCCTCATCTTGCCGTGTGAGAACATATGGTTTTTATGTTGTTCATGTTTGCCATGGTTTCGTCTTTAGGTTTCTTGGGTTCAAGGAACCCCCACTGCAGATCCCCTACACGTAAAATCTGCTGTCAGGCAACCGCAAATGGAATCTTTTGGTGCAGGCTGCCACATAAGGATTCTAAGGTTGGAGGCCACTGCAAGATCTCCCACACAATCTTATGGTAAGGTCGGCATAAACATTCCCCTTGCAGGACTACAAACAGTTTCCAATCCTAGGGAATATCATGAAAGCGAAGCCGATGATGACCAGGAGGAGGAGGAATGAGAAGGGAGGAATACGATGAGGGACCACAATGAGAAAGAAACAAGACGATGAACGAATACGATGAGTAAACTGCTGATCCATAGCGTGCCAATTACTAGAACATCCATCAAGCAAGCCTAGTTGCAATATTCAGCGGGCCGCACGAGGTCCAACGGGCCTCGTCAAAGAAGACTGTGTCGATTTTGAACCCGTTGTTGTCTGCCTGGGGGTATATACTTCGAGCTGTCAAGAAACATTTCTTTGGGGTATACACTTTGTTGACGTCTGATGAGGGTTTCGATGGGTCCAGCTCGCTGCCAGTCGCCAGCTACCTGGCGACGAAGATGACGCCGACGACGACGACACGACCGCGCCCACGACGAGGACGACGACCCCTGCGACAACGACGACGACGACTCCGACGAAGGCGACTCCGCCGACGATGGCACTGCGGACGATGACGACGACGACACAGACGACGACGACGAAAACGACGACGACACCCTAGTAATTGTCGTCTGTGTCGCCGTCGTTATCGACGACGTCGTCGATGTCATCGCCGTCGTCGTCGACTTCGTCGTCTGCGTCGTCGTCGTCCTCGCCGTCGTTGTCAGTGTCGTCGTCGTAGTCGTAGTCGTCGTCGTAGTCCTCGTTGGTGTCGTAGTCGTCGTCGGTGTTATCGTCGTCGTCGGTGTCGTCGTCGTCGGTGCCGTCGTGGTGGTGGTGGGTGTCGTCGTCTCCGTCGTCGTAGTCGGTGTCGTCGTCATCGTCGTCGTCGTCGTCGTCATCGGCGTCGTCGTCATCGGCGTCGTCTTCGCCGTTTTCGGGGGAGGGGGTCCAAACAATTATGCCCAGACGTCTTCCGGTGGGTCTAGATCAAAAATCGATACGTCCGACGATGCTTCTTGAGAGTTAAATTTTACTGCAGGTGCGCCGCTCATGGGGCTTGTCCCAGGCGTCCTGTCAATTACTTGTTTGACCCCCCCCCCGCCATTGTGAGTGTCTGGCGTATATGTTGGCTTCCCCGAAAAAGGCCGATACAACATCACACACGACACACGACACACACACACGACCACGAGCGAGCCGCTGCAAGCGCGGTGGCGGCTAGGCAGAAACGAGCCCGCTGGCACGGGATAGGGCAGACGGGCACGGGCAGTGACGGAGGCAGGGGCAGAGGCACAGGGCAGGGCAGCAGGCCGACGCGGTCGCCGACGGGCAGGCAGTGGCACACGCAGGCAGGTGGGAGAGTTGGAATCGATGCATCACTACAGTGGGGGCGCGTGCCAAGAAACCAATTGGATGTTGCCAGGGTGCCCTGGGTTTCTTGGACTTCGATGGGTCCCCAGTAAGATCTGGATGATTTTCGATCGACAAGTTTGGATCTGTATTGAACAAAGCGCGGGTTTCAGGGCTGGGTTTCTTGCGAAGGTTTCTTGTGGCCGAGACCCCACTGTATCGGAGGTTGATGCGCGATCGTGATCGGGGCGCAAGGGATGCAAGAGGGGCCGGCTGAGAGGAGACTCCTCCGCCGTTCTGCTCCGGCGCCATCATATTCCACTGCGACGCCGGGAGTGCCAAGGTCGCTGTCTCGTCTTCGATGCCTCGATGTCGCAAGCGTGCCACGCCACGCCCCAGTTGCTTTAGGTCATGGTGCACGGGGGGAGGGCTCGCATGAGGGGGATGGTGGAGGTGGACGTGATCTGGGGTGTGTTCCCCTCCCCCCCCGCTTCCCCAGCCAGCCAGCGTAGCCATGCCAAAGTGGTTCTCTTTGTCTCCACGGTTGCTGTTGGCTCGGATAGCTTGTCGGGAGGAGGCCCCCCTTGAGGATGTCGGGACGGGTTTCAGCAGAGCAGGAGGAGGAGGAGGAGGAGGAGGAATACTGCTCTGTGGCCTTGCGCAGCGTCCGTCGAATGGAGTCGGGACAGTCTGGCCGTTGTAATTCTCTCCGCGGTGCTTGTCCCATCCGCGTGCTCGGCATGCGCGCTGCACCGTCGGTCCGTCCAGTCGAGGGAAGCCACGGCAGATGGAGTGTGCCAAGCGAGGTCGATGAGTTCAGGGAAGAGCTCCAGAACATGCTGGGCAAGGACTCGCTGCCGGTCCGACTGCGCAGGGATGGATGTACTAAATCCTCCCCTCTCCTCATCCTCCACCATATCGTCCTCCACCTGGCCTTCCCCTCTGATGGTCCTCCTCCTCCTCCTCCTCCTCCTCCTCCTCCTCCTCCTCCTCCTCCATCCTCTCCCTTCATCCTCCTCCTCATCTTCCTCATCTTCTCAACCTACTCCATATTCCCTCCGCGTCCTAGCCCTCCTCCTCTACCTCAATATGTAATCCTGTTTGGTCTGCATTCCCACTCTGCCACGAAACTGGCCGGTAGCTGGCCAGTCCAGGACTTCCCATCCTACACGTTACAAACAATGCAAAGTTGACATTTCCGTTGTGGGCATTGACGTGCTGCCGCCCTTGATGCAACATGCCTGCCAGTGGTAGGACCAGGACGGGCCGCACATCCCGCGCGAAAGGCCGAACTGCCGCTCTCGCCTCGGCGCCGCGCTCCTTCTTCCAGAGATCGAGCCCCCCCGCTCGTGCGCGGCGCACATTGACGCGCGCACTCTCCTCGACGCGCCATCGGCCCCGACTGCCGCTCTCGCCTCGGCGCCGCGCAGAGTTCGCCGGGAGGTGGCGCCCCCGCCTCGGCACGGCGCGCACACGCCTCACTCGCCGGGCTCTGGGGGGCTCCGCTCGAGCGAGCGGCGTGCGGCCCCCCCCCTCGCTTCCAGCTCCGTGCACACCTCGCTCGGGAGGTGTGCGTTCCCGCGCGCGCGCGGCGCACGGTGCGCTCGCCGGATCCCACGGGAGCGGCAGTGCGGGGGGTGGACGGGGCCCCTGCCCCGACACGCCGATGAGTGAATTGTCCGTCTTCTGTGTTCGAGAGGGGCGCCGCGGCCGTCATTTTCCAGGCTTGCGCCCGCCAGGTTTGGGCCCGAGGTCGTTTTCACTCGACCACGTTTTGCTAAAGGGGGGTTCTGTCCATCCCCGAACAGTGGCACAGCGGGGCCCCGATAGAGAGAGAGAGAGAGAGAGAGAGCGGGCGAAGTGCCGACCTCGCCCAGGCGTCGCGCAGCCTGCGAGTGCAAGTGGCAGTGCTCTGTCAGCGCGGCGCATGTTCCGTTTTCTGATGGGCCTAAATTCCACCACCCTTACCGTAGGTAGGATAGGGAGGAGGAGGAGGAGGAGGAGGAGGAGGGGGAGGAGGAAGAAGAGGAAGAGGGAGAGGAGGAGGACCTTCCCATCCTCCCTACTCCCCCGTCCTGCCTATGGTAGTGTTGGTGGAGGAATGGCCCATCAGTTTCGCCGCACGCGTCGGGAGGTCTGCCGCCCCCGCCCCCCTGCGCCTGCACGCGTGGGCTCCGCGTCGCTCCACGCCGTCGGGAGCGGGGCCGCGCGCGAGCGCCCTCCGTGTGTTGCCAGGGGGGAGGGCGCTGCAGCTCCAGGATCAGGGTGTGCCACGTGTGATTCTTACGGTCGGGGCGCCGAAGAAAAGAACCCTTTTCGTTTGGGAGGGTCTCCGTGCTCCTCGGTTGCTTTGCAGTTTGCTTTGGGCTGTCATTCGGTGTTCGATGGGACATCGAAGTTTAATATATGGAATACAAGGTGCTTGGTCCCTGATTGATTGTTCCTAAGGTCAACGCCCCAACTGTATGTTGTGGCAGGGAGTGTGGGAAGAGAAGGGGTCTTCACACTCGCTCGACTGGGCGCCACCCAGCCTGATGTTCAGGTCCTCTCTGTGTCGCTCAGTCCCAGGACAGCGTGCATATTTTGCGCCGGGTATCATGCATGGTATGACGCACCTCTGCGCGCTGCACTGCGCGGCATACCTCGGGAGCACGGGGCAACTTCGAGCTTCGGGGTAGTCTGCGGGAAGGAAGTGGGGCATTCTGCGGGAAGCAAGTGGGGCATTCTGCGCCCGCTCCCGCCCTGGCGACACGCTTGGTGGTCAGAGGATCCGCGAACTGAGGGGCGCCGATCTCGGGGCTGGACAGACCCCCCTTTCGTAAAACGTGGTTTAGTGAAAACGACCCGAGGCCCAAACCTGGCGGGCGCAAGCCTGGAGAATAACGGCCACGGCGCCCTCTCGAGAACCGAAAACGGACAATTCACTAATCGACGTGTCACTGTTGGGGGTTCTGTCCACCCCTGACGATCGGGATTATTCTGGACGGTCCGGGCGGACCCGTGCTGCCCCCGGTGGGCGTGCCCGTCGACGCTCGGAACGCCCACGGCCTGCCACCCTCTGCCTCTGGCCTTCTCGTCTTCGCCCGCGCGCCCTCCGCACTGCGGCGCCCGCGCGGCGGCGCTGTCGCTGCAGGCTCGGGGGCAGGAGGAGGGGGAGGAGGAGGAGGAGGAGGAGGAGGAGGAGGAGGAGGAGGAGGAGGAGGAGGAGGAGGAGGAGGAGGAGGAGGGGAGGAGGAGGAGAGAGGAGGAGGAGGAGGAGGAGAGGAGGAGGAGGAGGAGAGGAGGAGGGAGGAGGAGGAGGAGGAGGAGGAGGAGGAGGAGGAGGAGGAGAGGAGGAGGAGGAGGAGAGGAGGAGGAGGAGGAGGAGGAGGAGGAGGAGGAGGAGGGGGGGAGGAGGAGGACCGCTGCACGCGCTTTCGCTGGGGCCTGGTTTCCGGGCCGGCGGGCGCGCGCGGAGGCCGTTCCAGGAGGGGCCTCGCCCTCGAGAGGGTCGCAGGAGGTGTCCTCGCTTCCCCCCGGCGGAGGGCCGCGGAAGGTTATTTGGGCGTGGCTTAATGGGGGGGCCAGAAATGGGGGGGTCACAGAAGGTCCCCTTTCGGGCCCCTCCAGAGCCCCAGGGGGCTCGTTTAGGTACCGTTTGGGTACCTTTTCGGACCACACTCACCACCCCCCCATTTATGATCCCCCATTACGCAGCGCCCAAGTTACCAGCCTCGAGCATATCCCTATCCCTGAGATTGACACGCCAAAAGGCGATGACAATCTTAGGGATGCGCCCTCAAAAGATAAGGGAATCCCTGATATTGGTATCGTGGTGAGGCGATGCCCAGCATAGGGACAGGGATGTGTTCCAGGCTGGTGAGAAGGTCGGCGGCGGCGGCGGAAGTGAAGCGAGGCCCTGCGCTGGCGGAAGTTGGCTGAAGGCCGGCGGAAGGCGGCCGAAGCAAAAGTCGACCTCCCAAGAGATGACCAACCTTTTTGGGTTCAGGGCTTCCGGAATCCGCCGCACGCCTTCCCTGCCCAGCCAGGGTGCGTGCACGTTTGCATATTATGGAACATCGGTGCGCTCCGCCTCCCAAGACGTCCTACAGTCTGACCGAGGTATAAGATCGAGGTCGGTTCGGAGAGGGTACTCTAGTTTTCTTTGTAAGGTTGGATGTTGTTTGTGCATCCTGGGGAGGGTACCCATGGATGTTCTGTGTGTTTTAGCTGGCGGAGGGTCCCCTGTTCTTGAGGGATGTTTTTCAGGCCCAGGTTCGACCGTGCATATATATATATATATATATATATATATATATATATATATTTCAGAACGTCACCTACAACCACCTCTCCGACCCTTCTCAGGGGAGGGCGCACGCGAAGCGTACCAGAATATTTTCCAAAGGTGGAGTGCGATCACGATCGCACCATGCTGGCCTGCGTAGGCCAATGCCTCGCCGCTCAAGGAGCAGTGCAAGGCCCCGCGCACTCCACACTGTTGTTGGTGACCACCACGGGTGGGTGGGAGCGCAGCAGGGCCAGAATAGTTACGAGCGTGAATCCTGAAAGGGAGGCTGGCAGACATCAAAGGCAGCCCATTCCAGGAGCACGGACGTCGAGACGAGGCTGGATGAGAAACCTGGCATTCCGAAAACTATCCAGCAAGCTCTATCTATTTCAGAACGTCACCTACAACCACCTCTCCGACCCTTCTCAGGGGAGGGCGCACGCGAAGCGTACCAGAATATTTTCCAAAGGTGGAGTGCGATCACGATCGCACCATGCTGGCCTGCGTAGGCCAATGCCTCGCCACCTTCCCCTATCCAGCGAAAGCTCGAAACAACAATCGGAGAAGAAGAAACTGACTGAAACTCAGACTACAGCCCAAACTTGGGCTCCAACTGCACAGTACCTGTAGGCAAGAGACCATGACGACTTGGCAATGTCAACACGCAAACGAGTGAGACTCACTTCCCCGCGCCGGAGATACTCACGAGCAGACCTCTCTGAGAGCCAGCGACCGAAAAGCATGATGTCCGCTAGCGGCACGCCCCGTGACAGCAGCTCCGTGGCTCCCCCACGGCGCAGCCCATGAGACGTCCAGTGCACAGCCCCGAAGCCCAGCGCGTTGGCGGCCTTCTGAAGCCACCGCTGGAGCCGCGGGTACGAGATGGGGCACACTCGCTGCCCTGCTCTGGCGGGAAAACGCAGCATGTAGTGATCCAGCCAGGTCACGGTGGACGGCTCCTCGAACAGGACCTTCTGCTCTGCCCCTCTCTTGGTGCGGCCGAGCAGCGCGACGTACCCTGTCACGGTCCTGATCCAGGTCCCGCCGTCCAAGGAGAGCGCCTCGGACGCTCGCAGCAACCCAGTGAAGCACAGTAACACGGCGGCGGCGCAGCCACACTCTCCGGCCAGCACGAGCCAGTTCACGATGCCCAGCGCCAGCACCGCTGGTAAGGCGGGCGCCTGCAGAGGCGGTCTGCGGGTGCGCCAGACGTCCAGCGCCTTCCAGGCCGTGCGGTAGTGGTGCCGAGGATTCGCCTTCGCGAAGGCGGCCAGCAGGGTTGAGGCAGTCCCAAGCCCATCCACCCCGCCAGACTCCTCGAACATATCCACCACCCGTTCGGCCAGGAACCAATCGAGCTCTTCCTCAGTGAGCTCGTGGATGCTGTAGCCCAGCGCCTCCAGGTCACAGCTGAAATCGCACAGTGCGGCGGCGTACCTGTCGGTCGTCACTGGCTTCAGCGCGCTCATCAAGAAGGTAATGATGCGCCCGCGGCGCCTGCCAGGATCGTCGGCCATGGCTGAGGTGCTGCTGATGGGCGACGAGCGCGTTGACCGCCAAGCGAGCCAGAGCCTGACACAGCTGCGGAGG